CTGATATGGACAACTCACTGCAGGGTCTACATTAGTACCACCTGCTTCATCTGGCATGTTTATGGTCTGGCAACAGCTTCTTTCCTTCAGCCTCAAGAAACAACCTCTGTTAGTTTCAAACTTTTCTTCTGCAGCTTCCTAACCTCTCTCAACCTTGACTGCATTGGAGAGTGAAGGGCTGGCTGTGGGTGAGGCTTGGGCTAAGGGACCCCCTGTGGCTGGTTCCGTCTGCCAGACCTCTCAGGCTGTGTTCCCATCAGTCATGGAGCTGCGCCACCACCTTGTCATCCGTGTCGTCACCAGAGTGTGCTTTTCATGTCCTTCCAGGGCTTCTCTGGCATTCACACCTGGGCCACCTGTTTGGCACAGGGATCCTAACTCCCAGTTTGTCTTGGCTTCTGGTGGACTCTGCTCAGTAAGCATAGTCATACGTAGCTTTTGATTTAAAGTGAGAAACCTGCAACTCTCCCTTTGACCTTAATACTTGGAGGCCATTGCAGGGCTATGAAGTGATCTAATTTCAGTATTGTGTGTGGGAGACAGGAGGGGTGGAGAGAAGGGAAGTAGTCCATCAGTGTGGTAGTAGGAGACAAAGAAAGACTGGAGAACGGTCCATCGGTGGAGTAGTAAGAGACAGACGATGTCGGCTAAATTCGCCACTTGCTAGGGGTGCAGCTTGTGGTGTCCCTGCTGGCCACGGTTGAGACTGGGATCCGCGAAGCTCGGTGAGTGCAGGCACCCTGTGCGGAGCGTGTAGATGCCGTGTGGACGCCGTGCGTGTTGCCTGGTGTCTGCTTCCCTGCAGAGGATGGGGCTCTGTGTTGCTCACCGTTATCGCCCCAGCCCCGCACGCAGGGCCTCATGCACAGCAGGCCCTCTATAGACTTCGCTGAATGAATAAATGAATAATCGACTCAGACCCATTTTGTTGCTCGTTCTGAGGATTCTGAGTATATTCCGAAAAACCCCTGAAAACTCTACTTTAGGTGATTGGGCCCTGAAATCCGCATTAATTCTAGAAATGTCCTGGCTCATAACGACAATTTCTACTTTCAATGAGGTCAGAGAACCTTAACACTGTAAGGGGGCTCGCACTTCTGTTCATTCAGCTGCATTTCCTTTCTTAGTGCAAAACAGCTAATGAAGACCTTGCTAACTTAATGTCCAGGAATTTCTGATGAGGAAGTTTATGCTGTTAGAGGTTTCCTGAGCAGGCTGGGGCTTAATTTTCTGAAGTCTATACGAGTGTATTTTCTGTGACGCTCCCTCGCAGCAGCAGTTAGGAAACCCTGTGTATCCACATTAGTTTCAGATCCCTGGTTCCGTAGTCATTTAATTTGAAAAATGTCAAAATCAGCCTGGAGATCATCATTCAAGCTGGTGAGATTTGTGACACTTGACCAGCAAAAGAAGACCCATAAAGTTGTAAAGTTGTTTTTTAGCCAGAAAATATGACAATTAATAATTCCTTTTTCCCCCAGCTCAGTAAACATAAAACGTCAAGGGAGGCATTCCAAGTTTTGAATTTCTAGCAGTAAATCAGTCCACTTTCCTGTTGCTGCTGGTACCGAGCACTCAACACCCAAGCCTTATGGAGGAAATGTTTTATTTAGCCCCTGACTTCAGAGGTCTCAGTCCATGGCTGACTGGCCCCAAGGCAGGAGCAGCGTGGAGGAAGGGAGTGGCAGAAGAAAACAGTTCGCTGCAGCTGGGAAACAGAGCAGGCTATAGCACCTGAGGGAAAAGGGCGAGTAATGTAGAATCTAAAGTCACAGCCCCCCACCCCCCAGAAGTGTGCTGTACTCCTCCCTAGTTGGATCTCCGGCCAGTCAGGTTGACAGTGAAGTCTCACTGTCACAAGCAGCTTCGTGTTGCAGCATCTTATTGTTGTTTCCTGAGAACACAGCTAATGAGTAGCAGCCAGGAATGGTGCGGAGAGTCACATGTTTCTCGGGCTCCTCTGAACGTCTGCAGGCTTAACTTGCTTGTGCTCACTCTGCAACACGTGTTCATGGATTGCCTACTCTTTACCAGGGCCTTACGGCAGTGCTTGAAGGGCTTCAAAGTCAGCTTTGTTTTACTATAATGAATATCCTTCTTGAAGGATGGCAGATTGTAAGATGTTCAGTTTAATTCCACAAAACTGTGGAAGTGATACAGGTGTCACATATGTGGTATAACTGTCCCATTCTCTCCTTTGCCCCAGAGTGTCTGTCTCTGTCTGTCTGTCCATCTGTCTCTGCTGATTTGTGACAGGGAGGGGGAGAGGGAAGCGCAGTGTTCTAAGCACTGTGTTAATCACTTCAGATAGGTTATCTGGCGTGCTTCTCATGCCAGCTCCGAGCTCTCATCTCCATTTCAGACTTAAAACAATGAAGCAAATGGTCCAAGGTCACACAGGCAAGAAGGAGCATGGGACGGAAAACCGAAACCCGTGCCTCTCCTTTGAGTGAGGTGGTCTTTGTTATGTGCGTCTTCTCACCCAGAGAGGGAAGGGAGTTTAGTTTCTGGGCACGAGGTGATTGCACTGATGTACTGTTTCCTTAGATCCAGTATATGTGTTAGTCATTTTTTAGTAACTGCCATAACCAGCTTAAAGAAAGAGAAGTTTATCTGAGCTCGTGGTTTCAGACATTTCAGTCCATGGTCAGCTGCTCCGAGGCAGGAACATCATGGCACAGGGCGCGGCAGAGCAACACTGATCTCTAGAAATCAGAGTAAGAGGACGTGGGAAAGAGCCCGAAAGGAAGGGGCTGGGAGAAATGCTCCAAAATCTGGAGCTTTTTTTCAGATTTCAGATTTTCAGATTAATAATGTTCAACCGGTAAATGTTACAAAGTCCAAAAAGTTCTGAAATAGGAAGCACTGTCGTCCTAAGCGTTTCAGAGAAGCACTATGGCAAAAAATTTATTTGAATGCTGTTTTTGTAGCTTTTTTAGTTTGTTTGAAAATTATATTTAGTGAAGGGAATATGTTACTTTTTAAACTGAGTTTTTAAGCTTTTGATATCATATCAAAAACAGCAGTATTGCAAAATAAATTATTTTGGGAAGAATAAAACAGATATTATTAATTTGTGAAAGGGATTTTTCCTACTAGCAACAATTCAGCTTTTTTTTTTTTTTAAACAAAAAAGGTATACTTTTCCAGTAGATGGCGCTTGAGGAACACTATTTTCATTTTTGAATTTGGTCTTATAAAAGTATTCTCCGCTGGATTGATTAAATTGCACATTTTAAATTATAGCTTGAGTCTTGTGTGTATGTGTGCTCAATGTTTACTTGAAATATAAAGCTTAGTAAATAAAATGCCTTTAACAATTTGTGATCTAACGCTAAGTTGATCTAATTTTATTGTATATTTTAAATATTTCTCTTTTATAGAGAAAACAGGTATTAATAATAATTATTTTGCCCTGTGACTAAATTTTTGTATTTCCAAGTTACACTGTTATAATACAAGGCAAGGAAAAAATTATATCTTTTCTTTTTGGCTATATTCAAAGTACATAAAAATATTTCAGAGACTCATACAATAAGAATAAAATTTTCTTCTATGAAACAATTTATAGCTGAAAGTTTTGGTCGATCTTTTAGTCATAGCTTAACATGAAAATAAGCTTAACTAGCTAATGTTGAAATTAGTTTTTATTTTAAAAATAATATTCTCTTATTTTAATTTCACATAAATTTACTAAAATGCCCTATTATATTAATAAATATCTAGTGTATTTTCATGATATTTGTTATTTGATCTGGTGATTGAAATTTATATTGTGCTTTAATGCCTTTTGAGAAACATTTTTACACTTCCTTACTAAAGAACTTCTCTAATTTTGTCAATGGTAAACACTGAGTTTGTGATTATATGACCAAGAATAGGCTTGGATGATATTAATTATGTGGTAAAGAAGTAAGAAGAAAGAATTTTAGCTGGGTGTGATAATGCACACCTGTAATCCCAGCACTCAGGAGGCTGAGACAGGAGGATTGCTGTGAGTTCAAGGCCAACCTGGACTCTGGGTTCAAGGTGACCCTGGACTGCATCGTGAAAGCTTGACTCAAAAAAATTTTTTTATTTCAACTGTATCTAGATGGTATTTTAATGTGTATTTCTACTTTAATGTGCATATGATATTTAATACATATTTGCAATAGATTTTTAATACATATTTAATAAGATTCTTATAAACCAATGGTTAGCATACAGATATTTAGAGAACTCAATATACTCTATTTTTTTTTAAAAAAATGAGTCCTTAGTATTAGCTTTTGGTTTTAATTCTGATTTTGAACTCTGCGGCACAAACGAAAACTCTTTTTAAGCTCTCAATTCTTTTGAGTGACTTTGAAGCAAGCGGCACCTTGTGTGAGACTATGTTCCGAGTCCCACGTCGGAAGGGTGGGCCGGCCGGTGCCGGATCGCTGGGCAGTTTGGAAAGGGGCAGCTTGAGCTGACCCCGCAGGCAGGCTGCAGTGTGGCGCTGCAGTCGCGGCTCACAGAGTCTTTGTAGAAAACATCCCCCCACGGCTCATCACACACACTTTCTGACTTTTCAAACTATGCTTGTAAAAAAGGGATTGTGTTATTTTATTATTGTTGAGAACATATTCAAAATAGCAATTTTAATGATGATCTCAAAGAGTACTTTGCTCAAAGAATAAGAGACTAGAAGATACATCTCATACTTTGTTTCGCCCGTCCTTATCCTCAGAGCCTGCCTGTCTCTCTGACTCTGTCTGTCTCTGTCTCTGTCTTTGTCTCTCTCTCTCTCTGTGTCTCTCTCCCGTTCTGTCTTTTTCCAACAACATGGCTCAGTATCAAATAGTTAGGAGGTTTGGAAGACCTAGAATATGTAAGACTACTTTATAAAAATAAATTTTCATCTTAAAATTTGCATAACCTTCTTTTGATTAAAAATGTAAAACCCCAGATACATGAATATATGCAAAGCTATTATCTAATGTTTTTGAGTCGAGTGTTTTCTCCTTCGTTTCTAGAATAAACATGTTCTGGCAGTTGTAACTATTGACAGAATGCTGGAAAAGCTGAAAAAAAATAATGAACTTTTGGAACTCATTCTTAAAGGACTGAACGAATATTTGGAGAAGAAACGTCTCTTCTTTCCCAGATTCTTTTTCTTGTCAAACGATGAACTGCTTGAGATACTATCTGAGACTAAAGACCCCACTCGGTAACACCTCTGCGTGTGTAGTCCACAGTCAAGTCTATCTGCTTAAATTTTATTCTTAGAATAAGGCAGAACATGAATAATTGTATGCGCTCATGTTTGTATAATCATTTTCTTCAAGAATGCTCTGAGTATTATCAACAATCAACTTTAATGTGCAAAAACATAAGTAATGTTGTGAAATGATACTTTTTCCTGTGTGTCTGTGATCACCAGGCACACACTTTACTTTATGTATTTGTTTGCTGTCCGTCTTTCTCTAGCAGTATGGGAGCTCCATGATGGCAGAGACATTGGACAGATTTTCCAAAATTTCCATTGAAAAGTGTCTGATAGAAAGTCGGCAGTGAATAAATAATTTGTTAAACAAATTTAGATATTGTGCCTTCAAAGAAGGAGTCACATGGTCCAGATTTTTTTTTTTTTAAAGATAGATTTAGGCTCAGATTTCTATCTGAATTTTATACACTGCTTCTTTTTGCCAATTTGAAAGATGAATACGACTGGTTATTGGTAATGTGCCAAAAATGATTGGTTTAGTCATTTCCACCCATATTATGTTGAATAGACTAACAGTTGGGTATGTCAGAGCAGTTGATTTAATAAACTGCAGAGTACTTAAAATATGGAAGGACTTAAACACCATAATTTTCGAGCATTCTCTGAAGATTTCACTTGAAATGGGGCTACTTTAGTGTAGTGAAGAGTCTTTAAATTAGTATATTTATCTGTTAGTTAAAAGTGGTTTAAACCAGGCATAGTGGCACATGCCTGTAATCCCAGCACTTGGCAGGCTGAGACAGGAGGATTCCCCTGAGTTTGAGGCCGGTCTGGGCCACATAGGGAGTTCAAGGCCAGCCGGAGCTACACAGTGAGACCCTGTTTCCAAAAAACCAAACAATAGCTTTTTATTGCTACTTGGAGCATCTTTCAATGTATTGTACTGAAAGTGGAGACTCATGAATGTCTCTCTCCTTCTAGCTTTATTATACTGTGACTGTGTAGCTCTTTTGTGATTGTTCACTTAACACCGACCTCTTCCTGGGCTGTGCACTCCAGGTTGGCAGAGACTGTGTTCTGTGTTGCTTCGTTTTTTGGGGGGCCTCAGCCTCTCATGCTCAGCAGCCCCCGGCATGGGTCTAACGCTTAGGGTTTATTTGTGAATTTGAAATGAATACACAATGGATGGATATGTGAGACATCACTTTCATTTAGTTCATTCTTTACGTGTATTTTCCTGACAGGGTGCAGCCTCACTTGAAGAAATGCTTTGAAGGAATCGCAAAGGTGGAATTCACAGAAACGCTGGACATCACTCACATGAAGAGCAGCGAAGGCGAGGTGGTGGAGCTCATGGAGACCATTTCCACCGCGAAAGCGCGAGGTCAGGTGGAGAAGTGGCTGGTGGAGCTGGAGAGAATCATGATTAACTCCATCCACAAGGTAGCTGGGTGTATTTGTTACTGTTTTCAGAAAGGCATGGTAGAGTATCAGTGCTATTACAAATCTATCCTTGGTAAAGGCAGGGTTGTTTAGACAGAGGGCAGGGCACGGATTACCATGTCAAGAGTAGCGTAAGTTGAGGACAGCAGATGCCCTGAGGTAGTTGTTTTGCCAGGACTCACTCCAAGTGGGACAAAGTGCTATCCATACGGCCTAAGAACACTTGGATTTCCGTAATGCACCCGTTTCATTTCGTGCAGTCACGTAATCGTTAAACACACGGTGCACATGGTCTTCTTTCCCTCTCTGCTTGTGCACGCCTTCCAGTTCACATCAGTGCCCTTAAAAGGCGTGCATCTTATTGTCTCTACGTAAGACACACACCAGAACGTCACAGAATCGTATAACTTCCCTCAGGTGATGGTAACTGCTTGTAGTTCACGTCACATGAATCGTACTGTTAGCTCAATCGTTCGTTAGTGGAGAATTTTTTAAGTCACGCCAACCAATGAAGATTGAGCACCCATGTTCACTTTTCTTCTATAATATGGGTTTAGTATTCAAGTTTTTAAGAACAAAAACTATAATTGAGCAGGGGAGCCCAAAAGGAGCATAGTAAATTAATTGATCTTTCATAGTCTCCCATGTTTTATTGCTAAAATTCAGTGGAATCTGAGTTTAACATTACCATGTGTCTAAATGTTTTTCTCATCCTAAATATAGCTGTAATGCCCCCCACATAATATTTTCCAGTAAATATGAAATCTTTCGAAAATCTCCCATTTTCTCCCAGTTATGTATTGTATTACAATCAACGTACTGCCCATAGAGTTGGTTTCTTTGATCTAATTACCCACTTTCTTAGGATAACTGCGCATGTATCAGACCCCTGGGCTAAGAGAATGAGTTTTCATAGGCCTTGAGAAGTGCTGACGAACAGTGTGTCTATGTGACCCCTGGCAATACAGAGGAACCCCGCGTCAAACACTACTTAGTAGCACTGGGCTGGGTTACAGGGTTTGCTGATAGTGGTAACTCACTGGTGTAGACATATCTATCACTGTTTCAACTGTACTCATGATTTTGTTTGCCAAAGTGCTTACAAGAAATCTTTTGATTTATTGGGCATTAGTATTTATTTGTGAAGTATCTTCATCTCACTTGGCCTCTTTTTGACTGGGTCTTGTTTGATGGTTCTAATTTTTTTTTTAGTTCTCTTTTTTTTTATTTTAAAGAGATAGACATGGGTCTGATTTTAGTCTTTGGCATGTGGAAAGCCAGTTTTTCCAACACCATTTATTAAACAGACTTTCTTCTAAGGAATATGTTTGGCCCCTTTGTCAAAGATAAGGTGGCTGAGTGTGTTTGTGGTTATGTCTGCATCTTCCAATCTGTTCCATTGATCCTCAGGTCTGTTTTTTTGCCAGTACCATGCTGATTTTATCATAGTAGCTTTGTAGTAGAATTTCAAGCCAGGGATTGTGATGCCTCCTGCCTTTCCTTTGTTGCCCAAGATTGCTTTTTTTCTTCTAGGTCTCTTCTGGTTTCAGATGAATTTCAGGAATGTTTTCTCTAGATCTGTGAGGTATACTAGTAGTATTTTAATTGGGATTGCTTTGAATCTGTATAACAATTTTGGGAGTATGACCATTTTCATAATGTTGGTTATTCCTATCCATGAGCAAGGAATATTTTTCCATAATTCTGAAATCCTCTTTGATATCTTTTTTCAGAGTACTATAATTTTCGTTGTATAGATTTTTTACTTCCTTTGTTAGATTGATTCCTAAGTATTGCACTTTTTGGATGCTATTGTAAAAGGTGTGGTTTCCCTAATTTCTCTCTCTTAATGTGTTTGTTATTTGTGTACAGGAATGCTATTGATTTTTGAGAGTTGACTTTGTGTTCAGCTACACTGCTATATTTGTTTATTAAATCTACAAGTCTTCTGGTGGAGTTTTTGGGGTCTTCTATGTAGAAAATCATGTCATCTGCAAATAATGATAATTTCACTTCTTCCTTTCCAACCCTTATTCCTTTTATTTCTCTTTTTTGTCTAATCGCTCTGGCAAATGTTTCCAGAACTGTATTGAACAGGAGTGGTGACAGTGGGCATCCTTGTCTTGCTCCTGATTTTAAAGTGAAAGCTTTCAGTTTTTGTCCATTTCCTATGATACTAGCCATTGTTTTGTCATAGATGGCTTTTATCAGATTGAGGTAAAGACCATCTATTCCTATTTTCTGTAGGGTTTTTATCATGATTGAATGTTGAATTTTATCAAAAGCTTTTTCTGCATCTATTGAGATGATCACATGATTTTTGTCTTTGGCTCTGTTGATATAGTGTATTACATTTACTGATTTGCACAGCTGGGCAATCTTCAGTTTAGTCCCAGCACCATCTGTCCCAGAGGCCCTGGGCTGCTGGAGGAAAACTAGGACTTAAGAGCCGATGTCCTTCCTATGAACAACTCCCTCAGACTTTACAGCAGCGAGTCCTTCCTTGGCTTCCTGAAGAGCTGATTTGAGATTTTCCTGGACGGCTGTTACTGTAAGGACTCTGCCCCCGCTGGTCACTACTTTCCCATCTTGAGGGCAGTCCCTGCGCGGAACACCTCCAGTCCTAAGGCTTGAGCCTCAGGAAAGCCCGTTATCTCCACGCCCTTGGTGTGGGCTCCAGGTTAACCCTTACTTGCCATGGCAACTGTCACCACAGTGTGGTTTTCCAGCCAAATGGGCAGAGATGCGCCCAGAAGGCCATGTCAGGTAGGCTGAATCGCTTCATAAGAAATGGGGGAATTACTTGGCACTGTGGATCACCAAAACGGTGATTAAACTCCAGGACTTTGGGGCCATCCTCTGTCAGCATTACACCAGCGTGCAGCATTCCAGTGTGTGGAGTGCCCTCTTGCTGCATGCCATCCACTGTCCTCTGAAGAATAGTATTTTAATTTTTAGTAACAAATCCTTGGAAACCTGGGGTTCTGGACAATAGGCTCCCATTCCCCTGTTGGGTCCGAGGTCTCCTTCCAGTAATCACTATGGTCCTGTGCTGGGCACGTGGGGACCACAGTCCTCCCGTCAGTGAAACACAGACAAGACGCCTCTTCTCCTTCAAGAAGCTCTTCAACAACAGTCGCTTCTCCGGCTGCTCCCAAAGCTTCTCCTGCATGATCTCCTGTACAGCTTTGCAGGCCTCTTCTTCACTCTTTGCAATAATCACCCCTTTCCCAGCTGCAAGGCCACTGCCCTTCACAACCAGAGCAGGGAGGTCGGCCCTCATAGTGAAGCCGCAGGCCTCCTCATCTTTGGTGGAAGCTCTCCACTGTGCAGTTGGGACTCCCTGTCGGTCCGTAAACTCTTTGGCAAACCTATGCTCCACTCCAGTTGAGCAGCTCCTGCAGTGGGGCTGAAGCATCGTCCTCCTGCAGAGGTCAGGTCCCCGACAGTTCCAGCAGCCAAGGCTGCCTCTGGTTCAACAACTACAAATTCAGTTTTCTCATCTTTGCAGATCTGAGCAAGGGCTGTATGATCACTGATCGAGATGGTAGTATTTGAAATCTTTTCCCAGCAGGCAGTACCTGCATTTCCTGGGGCAACCCACACTTGTTTGACATGATGAGACCGTGTGAGTTTCCAGGCCAGTATGTGTTCCCTCCCTCCAGTGCCAATTACAAGTCCTCGGGCTGCCATGTCTCCGCCTGCAAAGCAGGGACAAAGGAAGATGGCACCTTTCTTGGACACTGCCTCTAGTTTTTATATGAATGAAGAACTACGTATCCCAGATGTTAGTCCTCTGTCCGAGGAAATGCTGGTAAAAATTTTCTCCTGTTCTGTAGGTTGTCTCTTCACTCTGTTGGTTGTTTCTTTTGCTGTACAGGTGCTTTTAAATTTAATATGATCCCATTTGTTAATTCTTGATACCATTTCCTGTGCAACCAGGGTTCTGTTCAGATAGTCCTTGCATGTTATGACTTCAAGAGTTTTACCTATTTTATCTTCTAGCAGATCTTTGATCCATTTTGATCTTGGTTAGTATGTGGTAGGGGCTGGTGATTTAGCTCAGCGGCAAAGCGCCTGCCTGGCAAGCGCAAGGTCGTGAGTTCGGTTCCTGGTACCAGAGAAAAACCAAAAAAAAAAAAAAAAAGTATGTGGTGAGAGATGAGTCTAAACACACCCTTCTGCATGTGGGCAGCCAGTTCTCCCAGCACCATTTATTACAGAGGTTGTCTCTCCTCCAGTGTATGTTTTTGGCCCCTTCTACACCCATAGGACTGAGAAGAGAGTGAGACCCAAACACAGGAGGCTCTTTATAGGATTGTGTGATTTGGCTGTGTGTACTAAGTGGGGACCTGGTTGTAGAACATGAAAAGCATTAGCTATCCATTTGATGAATCTCATTTTGAAATGATTTAAATTTATTTTTTGCCATAAAATGACTGATGCTTGTTCAACTAAAATGCATATAGATGTCTCTGGCTAAAACCAGTTGAATAACTATTTTGTATAATATAGTTCATACAAGTTGATAATGTATCGGCAACATAGGTAGTGCATATGTAACACATATATCCATAGTATGTGAATAAATTTACAGGGTCAGGTTTTATGTCTTTCTTTCATTGCAGGTTTAAAATGTTGAGCACTGTGGGTTAATCTAGTTTGGAAATTCTACTCTTCGGTGTGCAGCATGTTCAAGAACCTGCTCATCTTCAGCGTTTTCTTTTCTCACCTAGGTCATCGGAAGTGCGATTCTGGCCTATATGAATAACGAGCGAATTCACTGGGTGCGGGAGTGGCCCGGCCAGGCCGTTCTCTGTGTGTCCCAGACCTTTTGGACCAAGGAAGTGCAAACAGCCATTCCGATTGGGCTGCAGGTGAGTGCTTAGCACCCCACATCTCAGCAGTTTCTGGAAAGTTTCCTGGGGAGAATATACTTATTCCAAATACCGGAACAGAAAAGTCCACTCAGAAATCTTCCTGATGCTGCAAGCATCAAATTATAGCATCAGATTTTAAATAAAATTGCAAGTCACAAATAGGAGGAAGAACTCACACATGTAACTATCCAAAATTTCTGTCCAAACTGCTAGTTTATTCACATTACGTAAAAGTAATAGAACATTGACCCTTTGTCTTGTTATTATATACCTTTTTGTGTCTTATAGAGTAGAAAGACAGTAGGATATAGAGTAATATAATTCTCCTTTGTGCCTTAAATAAGACTGCTCTATACACACAGGGAATCAGCTGGTTTACTCTATTTCAAATTTTAATACATTTATTTTTGAATAAGTAATGTTTTGAGTAATAACATTAAATATTTCAATAGTTTGACATACCTGGATGTACAAATTTAATATTAATTAGGTAGCTACCATTAATTAAAAATGAAATTATACTCTACACCAGTCTTATCCTTGAGATAGGACTTTAAGTGAGTCCAATTTTCAGTTGACTGATGGTTCAGCTAGAATCTAGCAATTACAGATCTTTAGTTTCAAATCATGACATTGCTGGGTATGGTGGTACATGCCTGCAATCCCAGCACTTGGTAAGGTGAGGCAGGAGGATCACTGTGAATTCAAGGCAGCCTGGGCTACAAAGTGAATTCAAGACCAACCTAAACTGCATAGTGAGACCTTGTCTTAAAAACAAAACAAAACATAAAACCATGACATTGGCCAGGTGTGGTGTACACCTGTAATCCCAGCACTTGGGAAGCTGAGGCAGGAAGATCACTGCAAGTTTGAGGCTGCATAGCAAGACTCTGTCTCAAAAAAATTGATTGATTGATTGACTGATTGACTGATTGAGACAGGGTCTCACTATGTAGCCCAGGCTGGCCTGAAACTCATAGCAATCTGCCTACCTCAGTCTCCTGACTGCTGAGTGCATGTGCCACCGGGCCCAGCTAAAATCATGACTTTTAAATATTTTGACATGGAATTTGATACACATATTAGTCACTTTCCTGTCACTGGGACAAAATGCCCAGCACCCAGAACTTAAGGGAGGGGAGACGTATTTGGCTTACAGTTTATACTGGGTTCAGTCCATGGTTGTCTGGCTCCAAGGTAGAAACAGCATGGTGGAAGTGCACGGTGGGAAAGGTGTTCAACTCACAAGTGCCAGGATGCTCAGAGAAGACAGAGGAGCCAGGGAGAGATGCACCCTCCGCAGGCACGTACCTAGTGACCCAGCTCTTCCCACTGGGCTCCACCTCCTCACAGCACGTTTAGCTATGAACTCATCCATGGATCACCCCACTGATAAGTACGGAGTAGGTTTTGGTGAAATGTTAACTCCAAAGAGATTGGGTAGCCCTGCCCCTGCGACCTTGCTGATGGCAGTGCACAGGACCTTCTCCTTGGGGAGGATCTGCTCCTGGCCTGTGGCTTTCCTCAGCATGCATTCCACATTCCTGGCATTTCCAACTGCATGTACCTTTCACTTCACGCACAGCATTCACACCTTGCCTGGCCTCCCAAGCGTTCTTTTGAAATCTGGGTTAAAGCCTTATGACCCCACAACTCTTACATTCTGCATACCTGAAAAACTAGCACCAGGTGGGTGATGCCAAAGTCTGCTACCAGCTCAGGCAGTAGCCAGGCCCCCTTGAACCCTGACTACAGTGGCCTCTAAGTGCCTGGATGGCTGAACTTGGGATGACACTTCGCAGGAGGCCCCAAATGAGTAGGACACCCTGAGTTTACTTTTCAAAGCAGTCTTTCAAAAGAGTTTACCCCTTTTACACCTCTGACCCTCTGATGAATTGGACCTGCTGATTTTCTGATATACCTTCAAGTCATCTTTGCTACTGTCCTGATGCAGAGTACTTGGTGTCTTGTTTGTGGAGCTGATCTTTTTAGTTTGGCCCCAAGTTTGCCGGCACTTCTTTTCTGGGGGAAACTTTCACATCTTTTGGCTTTACTTTTTGCTGCTGACTGTCACCTGAAAGTTGGTAAAAAGTAACCACCAGTATCCGTGGTACTTCCTGAATGTTGGTCTGCCTTGAAATTCACTCTGCCAGATTTACTAGTCCACCCCCTTAATCTAAGTCCTCCACAAGATCTCAGGACTTAGGCAAAATATAGATAAATTTTCTACCAAAGTGAAACACACATGGCCTCTGGTCCAGCTGTCCAGCTGGATTCCTTGTTCCCAACGGAAACCTCCTGACCCTCACCTTTGCTGTCTGCTTTTCTGTCAGCATTCTGGTGTTCCGAGCTCTTACCAAAATCATCAGTCAGGCTCTGCTTATAGCATTCTAAGGCTTCTCTACCCATCATCTCCAAAGCTTTTCAAGCTCCTCCTGCAAAGCAAATCAAAGGGCTTGTGAACGACATGGTGAGATACAGTCATAGCAAAAACCCTACTTCTCTAATTCTTCCAATGTATGTCTTTAACTCTAAGATATTGGTGGACATTAGTGTTTGGGTTTGAGAGGAACACATATTCTTCGTAGGTAGGCAGATTTTAAAGAAGAAGGAGCTGAATGACACATGCCTAAGTCCCTGCAACAAAACAACCAACCAAACAACCAACCATGTCACTTCCTTCTCTTTTGCAAGAAGAAATAAAAGTGTAGGTCTGAAAGTCCAGGGTTTTCAGGAAATAGTTTCTCTTCATGAAAATGAGCTTTGGAGCATAGGATTTCCCTCACTTTCAGTATCATTGTTGCCACTTAGCAACAGCCCTGAGAAAGTGAAGCAAATTCAGTGTGCAATGTTTATCGAATGTTGTTAGAGCGGAGAAAGTGAGCATGTTAGCCTCCTGGGCACATCGACCATTCCCGTGGGCACAGTGGTTTTCATTGATTCTGCTTTGTTCTTCATCACAAGCCCTTTTATGACCTTGAAGTTTCTCATTAGATTCATCTACCAGAGGAGAAATTCCAAGGCAAACCTGGTCCTCAGAACTGGCCTTGATTCACCATCAACAAAACCATTCATGTTCTGTATATTGGTACCTGCCATGGGCCAGTTGTGTTGCTATAACAAAATACCTTCTCTACAGAGGGATGTTTATTTAGCTCAGTGTTAGAAACTGCAGTTCCAAGACTGGGCAACCTGGGTACATGACACGTGGTGGATGACGTCATGATGAGAGTGTGTGCCAGTGGGAAGGATGACATGGTGGGAAGAAAAACGAGAGAGATGGGGAAAGACCAGATTCTCCTCTAAAATAACAACCCACCCTTGGGGAGCTACTCTGGAGGACTAGCCCTGTGTTAGTCCCTTCTGAGGTGATGCCCTTTGGCCTAATTGTTTTTCTCAAACGTCCGCTGTCTCAGCATGGCCACACTGGAGACCACACCTCTGCACAGGCAATTTTAGGGAGCACAGTCAAATCACATCCACTCCATGGCAGCGTCTTCATGTTCTGAGCGGCACAAACCCCATTCAGAAGTTAGTAGAGGGGCTGATAGGATCGACAGAAGCAAAAGATAGAATCAGAGTCTCGGGCTTCATTACGGCTGTCATCTTGCTTTTGCTGTCTCTACTCTTTCCTGGTCTCCAGCAGGCTTCTTTCTGTGACAGGGTGAAGGCTTGCTGTAGCTTCAGATGGCCATATTCAGCGTTCAGTAAGCCCTAGTGGAAGGCACTTTCTTCTCTTGGTCTGACAGTACTCCCCAGGAAGAATGGCAGTGAGCTCTGATTGGCTCCTGTCCCCCTGTCCCATGTCACTACAGAGATAGGTGAATGTGATAGTTCCAAATGAAGCACGGAACACAGAAGGGCTTGAAACAGGAAAGGAAGGGGTGCTGGTTAGTCACCTGTATCCCCTGTGTCCTGCCAGATTGGGCCTGTTCACCTAGCATCTCTGGTAGTAAGGAGAATCGATTATTTTTAAATCATCATATAGAAAATTAAGGTGAAAATGCAGAGAAGACCCTACCTACATGCTAATTCAAGATATTTGTGTTCAAAATGATTCTGATCACACTGAGAAATCATTTCTTATTTCCCTTCAGGCTCTTGAGCAATACTTGGAAAAATGTAACAAACAAATTGATGATATTGTCACTTTGGTCCGGGGCAAACTGTCTAAGCAGAATCGCGTTACGCTGGGAGCCCTCGTGGTACTGGATGTCCATGCTAGAGATGTTCTCGCAACACTGGTCCAAAAACGCATCAGTCACGACTCTGACTTTGAATGGTTAAGTCAGCTTAGGTACTATTGGCAAGTAAGTTATACCCCTGAATGTTATTATGAAGCAGTTTCAGCTCATAGCTTTTTAATTTGTGCCTGCTTGCTCGCATGGGAAATACTATCAGTAATATAATTTTTGCTGATGACGGACTCTACCCATTAAGTGTTTCTCCAATTTGAAGATTAAGGAAGGCAATAACTGTATCATCAATATCTATGTTTAGATCTGTATCTATATCCAAATGTATTGCTATATGTAAATATATACATAGAAAGATTAAAATCATGGCAAATTGCCAACATTTACTCATTTTTTAGACAAATCACTATGCTTGCAATTTGCAAATGCTAAGATGTCAATTTAAAATTTTTAGATTCCTGATGCATCAAAAGAATGTACAAATCAAAGTTTTTAATTCCCATTTAGTCATGCAAGTTTCCTCTTATTTTATTTTTTAATTTTTTTTTTTTTTTTTTTTTTTTTTTGGTACTGGGAATCAAACTCAGGACCTCACACTTGTCAGGCAGGTGCTGAACCACTGAGCTAAGTCCCCGGCCCCCTCCTCTTATTGATCAATGGAAAAACCTAGAAACATGACCTGTCCCTTTGTCACTTTTTTTGTCATTGGGAAAAAACTCCTGCCACCCACGAATTAAAGGAGAAAAGCTTTTATTCTTTTATTTTTATTTTCATTGTTTTAGGAGGGGAGATTTATATGGGCTTATGGTCTTGGAGGTCTCAGCCTGCTGTTGGGTGGCTCAAAGGCAGGAATGGCATGCTGGAAGGGAGGGTAGAGAAGACTGCTCATCCCCAGGCAGCCAGCAGGGAAGCAGCTGGGGAGAAGGGTATAGCCAGTAGGGGAGGTGCGCTCTTCTAGCCCACTCCCCCAGTGACCATCTCCAACCAGACTCCGCCTCCTAAGAGCTCTTTCACTACTGATCTTACCGATGCATGAATCCACCAGTGAGCAGAGCGTCCCGTGATCCAGTCATCTTCCGCACCACAGAAATTGGGGGGGAGGGGCATCTGAGAGCTGAACTGTAAGAATCTTTGAGGATGCTGTGAGGGATATGGGTCATTTGTACCTGGGAAGGCAGAAGAAATAAGGACAGTTAGTAAGTGTGCGGCATGGGTGTGCTGAGTGTGGGCAGAGAGCAGTGAGTGGTGATATGCGCTCAGAAGTTCTCGTGGTAGAGGCACTTGTGGAAGTCTTGGAGTGTGAGTTGGGGGGGTGGGAGGAAAGACAAGCACGAGCATCCCACAAACCGTCTGAGGGGCGGTGGTTAGGGACACGGGCGGTAGAACCATCTCTTCACATGCCAGAGCCTTGACAGATTCATAACTTTGGGTCAGTGCCTCATCTGTAAAATGGTGAGGATGACACTACCCACTCTACAATGAAAAAATACAGATGTGGGAGAGATACGGCACAAGTTCAGAAATGTTATGAGGGGAAAATCGATGCCGCTGATTTCAGTGATGCACCTATGGAAACCAGTACCCCGTGGAACCAGCTTCTACAAACAATGTCTGAAAAGTGAATTTTCGAGAAGTCTACCCTATGGTCATTTACAAAAGAGCTTGAGATAGTGTATTGCTTAAAACTTGGTTGTCCAAACTAACTTCCTTTTGTCTGGTTTATTGTAGGAGAATCAGTTAGAAACAAAGATGATCAATGCTGGTCTGCGATATGGGTATGAATATCTGGGTAATTCACCCAGGCTGGTTATTACCCCACTCACTGATCGATGTTACAGGTAAACTCTTTAATTTAAGGCTATATTGGAGATAGTGTTCATCACCCCAGTCCATGGATTTACTTAAAAATTCCAAATCATCTCCCATATTGTGATCTCACCACATGTCAGTCTTGTCAGTCACTGTTATTTTTGACCTTCTCCATCTCTCATTTCTTCCTGAAATTCTCTGGATGCTTTTGGGTCATGTGAGCCATCTTGTTCCTCCCCCTAAAACTCTCAATTTCCTAGGGTTCTTTTGTCATGCAGTGTTTTGTGTCATGCTTCGGTTTTCCTGAATGCTCCCGTCTGCTCTCTAGCTTAATGATCTACCTCCTGAAGACCGGAATCCATCCCTGTCTGTGAGCCTTTGCTGTACACTGCCCACTGGATGGCTCTGTTGAAGATCTCCTCATTCTTATGTTTTCATTTTTTCCAAAAGCACCCTCCTAAGCTGGGCGTGGTGGCACACGCCTGTATTCCCAGCACTCGGGAGGCTGAGGCAGGAGGATCATTGTGAGTTTGAGACCAACCTGGGCTACAAAGTGAGCTCACAGCCAACCTGAACTGCACAGTGAGACCCTGTTTCAAAAAGATAAAAAAAAAAAAAAGCAACAAAAGCAACCTCCTAAATTAGGTCAGGGTCCCAGTTACATCTCAGGGCACGGTGGTGAGCAGCCATCCACTCTGCTGTTTTTCCCCTCATCTTTACCAAAGATGACCGAGGCCACAAGCATCTGCACTGGAGTGCAGTTAGTAGAGGGGCTGATAGGATTTACCAAAACTGAGCTTCGACCTTGGCTCTTTCTTAGTTCTTCGTATCTAGTCACCCACCAGGTCCTGCTGATTCAAATAAACTTGTTTACTTAGGTTTTTTTTTTTCACTTTTACTCTCTATTCTCTCTCTTTTATGAAGTATACTTTTTGGAGCAGTTTTAGATGCATAGAAAAATTATGCCGAAAGTTTAGGGAATTCTTAGGTAAGCACCTCCCGTTCCTCTGTCGTTAACATCTTGTGTTAGTGTGGTTGCATTTGCTAGGATTGATGGACTGAGACTGACACATGGTTAAGTAAAGGCCATACTTTTCATTAGAGTCCACTATGTTGTAATTTTATGGGTTTTTACAAACACATAGTATCATGTATTTGCCACTATAGTATCTTACAGATGGGTTCCTAAAAATGCCCTATGTGCCTTGCATTCATCTTACCTCCCACCCTCCTGAATCTCAGGCAACTACTAATACTTTTTGTCACTGTTCTGTCTCTTCCCTAATGTCATAGTCTTGAAATCTATGGTCTGTCTTCCTTCACTCAGCGTATGCATTTATGTTTTCTCTGTGTCTTCATAGCTTGAGAGCACATTGCTCTTTATCTCTGAATAATGTGGTGTTATGTGGCTGTGCTACAGTTTAGCCACTCAGCTTTTAAAGGACAGACTGCTTGCTTCCAAGTTTGGGATTAAAGAAGCTATAAATACTCCTGCACAGAGTTTGTGTGGGGATGAAAGTTTTTAATCCATTTTGTGTCTGGATTCACTTTTGTGCATGTGAATGTGCACAGTGTATTACAAAGAATATCCTCTCTCCATTGACTTGTTTTTTCTCTTTTGTCAAAGATATGACTTTATCTTAGAAATGTTTCTTAAATACTCAGAAATATGATGGCTGGATCATACAGAAAACCTGTGTTTAGCTTTGTGAGACACTGCCAGACTGTCTTCCGGAGTGGCTTTGCCATATGCATCCCCACGAACAAAGAGAGAGGCTTCCCTTTGTTCCACGTCCTTGGCAGCCTTTGGTGTTGCTAGTCATTTGGATTTTAGCCATTCTAATGTCCTGTCTCTCATTTTGCTTTATATTGCATCTCCCTAATGGCATATGATGTCGAGCATGTGTCCATGTTTGTTTCCATTTGAATATCTCTCTGATGAGGTGCTATTAAGTTCTTCCACAATTTAATATTCAGAGTGTTTGTTTTCTATTTTGAATTTTAAGAGTTTTTGTACATTTGTATATAATTGTTGTATATGTTTTTGTAAATATTTTCTTTCAGTCTGTAGCTTGTTTTTTCATTTTCTTAATGTCTTTCACAGAGTACAGATTTTTATCTTATAAAGTCGAATGTTTCTCTATTTTTTTCATAATGCATACTTTTTGATGTTGTATCTTAAAAGTTGTTATCAAACTTGTCACTTAGATTTTCTCCTATGTTATCTTCTGGTTGTAGAGTTTTGTATTTTACATTTAACTCTGTGTTCCACTTCTAATTAATTTTGTGTCTAGATTCTCTTTTGCGCATGTGAATGTGCACCATGTATTGGAAAGAGTATCCAATACTCTTAGTTACTATCTGCACTGAAGCATGTACCTGGGTTGATGATGACCGCTTCCTGCTTTTGAAAGCTAAGCAAACTTTCCCTATGGGTGGAGAGCTGGTTACAAGAGAAAGAACAATAGATCCAACTCACTCGGTCAGCTAAGCTGTGAGGCCCACACGGCGACCTCCCCCACTATTTAACAGAGTCCCCCTCGTGTTAGATTTGACCTCCTGAGTGTGAGCTGGGTGAACGAGAGACTGGCAGCTTTGGGAGACGCTCCCTTCCTGTGACTGATGTATCCAACATGAGAAGAAGGGTAGGAAGATGCCACCCAATGTGATTTTCATCTTTGTGACTCTACTGTCTCCACTTTACCAGTTGTTTAAGTGTCTTCCTGGTGTATTATATTCAAGGACAGCAGACAGAGACCAAGAAGATAGCACTGAGGCCCACCCCCTGGTGTCCCCAGACGCATACCGTTCTGTTCCTTGACTCCGTGCTTTTGCACACACTGCCTCATCTTCCAGGAAGTTCCTGTCCCTCCTTTTGTTCCCCAGTACATGTGACTGTCACTTACTGGGTTCCCTAACACATCACCTCCCCCAGGTAGTCTTTGCCGTTCGCTCCTGGCTCCCCTGGCAGCCTCTCCTGAGTGATTCTCATGTCACCTGCTGTCTCCTCATTGCTCGTCACGGTGCCTCAAATATATGTGTGATATTTGCTGTATTTTTTACGGCCACCTTTTCCAGGGCACAGACCTTGTCCTTTTTTTTCTGTATCCCTCGCACCAGCACATTTTCTGGCACAAAGGAGGATTTAGTAAAACATATTGAACCCATATAAACGTATCAGCAAATATAAATTGTATTATTTCCCAGAGAGTGGTTAGGATTATAAATATCTCTAGTGAACAATAAACCCCCCACGTTCATTTTAAATGATGATGACGTTCAGATAGGATGGTGCTTGATGTCTCGTCTTCCTCCGAGGCCTGATGGGAGAATTGTTTACGGAACATGAAATCCATAAATGGGATTTCGGCCAAGGGCAGCACAGCAGCTCTGACCCAGTTGCGTGGCACAGGTCAGGCCCTGTCCCGGAAGTCTCTGCCCTGGGTCCCACTCCAGTGCAGATGCTTGTGGCCAGACGCTGCACCTGCTGGAACCATTACATAGGTTACAGTGTAGGACTCCTTCTATGTCCAGTACACACGTACAGCCATCATATAACTATGACGGGAAAAATGCTTAAATTGCATTTATTCATTCAGGAAGTATTCGTGACTATCTATTATAGACGATACACTCTGGTAGCAGTAGAAGAAAAGATAATCTCTGTATTCAGATGTTTTCCAATCAGATAGGAAAGGCGAATTAGAAAACAATTACAATACAGTGTCCAGAATGAAAATTCAGAGGTAGACCCAGCTGGGAGTGGAAGTTTCTGAGGAATTCACTGAAAAGTCATGTTACTGTGGGATCTGGGTAGAGATCTTCTATTAGATGTTATGCTGAAGGATGAGGGGATTTAGTTAAGCGAAAGTACTCATGTATCTTTTATGAGTTGAGTTTTAATCCATTTACATGTAATGTGATTGGTAAACTATTTCGACTTTCTCAACTTACCATATGTTATGCTTCATACTCCCCAAGTTTTGATTTTTATTTTCTTTGGCTTTTCCCCCCTTTGCCTTATCTTTTGTTAAGTAACTAAGTTTTCTTAATTTATTTGTCTCATCTGTTATGGATATTATGTGAGTCATGATGTGGGATTGTAGTTTTACTGTTTAAAGGTTAATTCTCACTTAAAATGTCTATGCTTAATGAAACCTAAAATTAATAAATACCTCTGTCATCTTCCTGAATAATGAAATAATTTCAACTGCATTAAGTCCAAATTTCTATGTCTCATATTTCAAATTCAAATACTAACCCTAGCTTTATAATTTCTTTCCAAAAATTATTCATTTTAACTAGTGTAGTAAGTAAAGTGGTTTCAGGATGCAAGCAAAAAAACTTTGTTTTTTATCACTGTTTTCAATTTTCTCTATCAAATATTTTCCAGTCTAGTTACACTTACTTCTTAAGAGATTATTACTATTTTTCCCAGATAGCAAAAGTCTGCAGAGGGCTAATACTAAAATTCTTACCTCTCTTTGAATTGAAAACTTCCTTCTCCTCTGGCTCAAGTCTGACTGAGGCTCCGAGCCTGCATGTGAAAGGCAGATGTGCCCAATCTTTTGTCATTGTCATCTCTGGCCCTTGCATGGGCACCTCCAGGGCCCACCTTTTGGTTCCCATGTGTTGGGGCCTGCTGGAGGAGTGATAGGTTGATACGTGGAAGGTCTACTGGATGACGTCTGTCTCTTGGTGGTTAGTGCTTGTCTTAGTTACTTTTCTCTCAGTGCTGAGGCAAAATACCTGACACCCACAGTCAAAGGAGGAAAGGTTTATTTAGCTCACAGTCTGTGGAGTTTCAGACCTTAGTCAGCTGGCTCCAAGGCAGGGTGGTTTGGCAGAAGGCAACAGTTCATGTCAGTGGAAGACAGCAAGAGAAGGAGAGAGGGCAGACAAGCCTCTGTCCACCGCTTTTATCTTATCCAGACTGCTGGGATTAGGGCAGTGCCAGTCCAATCAGGGGACTGATCCATCGATCACCCACCCTTAATTCCAGCACCCTTAATCCCAGCATCATCCACTGTAGATCCGGCCACCTCCGAAAAGCTCCCCCACTATGACCACGTGAGACTTCATGGGGACAGCCAGAAACAAACTACAGCAGTGCTGTCAACGATGGAGCAGGACTAGATGTGCTAATCACCCCAGGGAAGCTCCGTGGGAACTTGGGGCCCTCAGTCCTGGATTCCCCCGCACACAGCCCTCCACTGGGGTCTCCTCCCATCTGGCCAGGGCCTCCTGCACGAGGTCCCACTCGGCTTGGCTCACGTCTGGCTGCTTCTGGTGGGAGCTAGATCAGGCCAAGTGATATGTGTCTGTTTGGTCAGCAGCGTGAGTGCATCTTTCTCACTGTTTCTTTTTCCCCCCGCTCTGCTATCAGAAGCACCAGGTCTTTCTAAATATTTGGGGCTGTGAATCAGCTCTCAGTTCTTGTGTTTCACAAGCTCCATGGAGTACATGGTGTGCAGGCTTTCTGGAAAGTTCTCTAAAGCCCCTCAGTTACCTTGGGAAAAGGAAGTGCTCCTCTCCCTTCCACCGCACATAGCCATCTGACACGCATAATATACCAACGCTCCGTCCAAAGAAGTCCTCATTCCCGGCCCCTCATTTACAGTCTTCCTGGCCAATTTTTATATGTTCTGGTGGTGGCTGATTTGCCAAACCACTTCACTATTTATAAGATACAATCTGGCATTTCTTGCTTTCAATTTGGAGCTTTAGTCAAAATTCTGAGGCAGAAAAGCCCTATTTAATATAGGAGTAGATGTTTTTACAGATCATACTTATGTAGGTTTACCAGAAGTCTTGTTTTCTTTACTCACCATTGCTTCCTGCTTTATTTCACTTCCTGTTTAATTTTGTCCTTACTTTGGCCATATCTTTTAGTAGTTGTTTTGGTAAGGCTCTGAAAACCACGTGTTCTTCTAATTCATTGTCTAAAAAAGTCTCTCTCTGTTGTCTTCAGTGAATTATTAATAGATAGATTAACTGGACATAGAATTATAGATGGAACAGTAGTTTCCCACCAAAGATAATATTTCCCCCAAATATAATATTCCCCTGGCATCCCTTCCTACTGCCAAGAAATCTGTTAATTACTCTTTTCTAGGAGGTAAATATCTTTTCTCTATTGAGGTTTTTAAGACTTTGTTTGGGGGTTTTTTGTTTGTTTGCTTTGGTGTTGCTCACTGTAATGTTATTAGATGTGAATTGGTTTTTATTTATCCTGTTTGGGACTGTATCAAAGTAGGTATGTTTTCATTTCTGGGAAATTATCAGTCATGCAGTTAACTAAGGGAATGCTGATATAGATAGATAGCCTCGGGTAACTTCAGCTGTGTCCCGGAAGTTGTGGTCTTTTGTAAATGTCCAGCTTTTAGTTATGATTGTCTTTGGCTCCTTGGTACCCACCTATGTCCTCCGCCTACGCCAGGCCCGTGCTCAGGAGGTGGCTCCCCAGGCAGCCTGGCTGGTTCTCAGTGGTGGAGGTGCCATCCTCCTGAAGGAGTTTAGGACACACCCCTGAGGGGAGCTGTAGGGTTTTCTCTGGTCCAGGAAGCATTTGTGTCAGTTTCTTAGCCGGGTCAAGTGCTGTTGTGCTGGAACTGCCTCCCCCCGCCTGTGGATGCTGTAGGCTTGTGGCCAGGCCCCGTGTAGAGTAAGCTTCCTGCTCTTCATCTTTCTCCAGCAGGTTCTGGAGTAACTTTTGTCTCCACTGAGAGACAGGCTGTGTCTCAAGGCCGCTAGATTTATGGGGACGGACCCATTCCTGTGTCCTGCCTTGCTCAGCTCTGAAGGTTTGTTTTCTGTCTGTAGTACAGAATGCACAAATATATAAACACACTGTGTTTACATGCAGAACCTTAAAACAATATGCATATGTGCAGCCCTAGTGCCTGATTACTTCTCCAGCTTTGCATTCCTCAGGATGGGCGATTTTCCTTTTATTCTTTAAAACATGGCCAAGAATGTTAACAGTTACTATTTGTTTTCTATTATGTGCCATTAAGGGCAAGAAAAGGATCAGGTTGTTCAGGGTCAGCTGAATTCTCCATGTTGAGCACACATCACCACTGAATTTCAAGTGGATCTGGCCAAATCTGTCAGTCGTACAGTATTCAGAGGTAAAATACAAGAACAGGTAAAACAGTGTGATATTAGATTTTTCTCAGGTGAGTGGGAAGGAAGGAAATATTGGAGAAGAAATGGCAACTTTGGCTCTCAGTTTAAGCTTTTTGGTATGTGCATTAACAAAACAAAACCAGTATTCCACGTGGACGGCTTGTGTCTTCTCTCTCAGAACCTTATTCGGAGCCCTTCACCTGCACCTCGGAGGGGCGCCGGAGGGCCCGGCTGGCACCGGGAAGACAGAGACCACCAAGGACCTGGCGAAAGCAGTGGCCAAGCAGTGTGTTGTGTTCAACTGCTCGGATGGCTTGGATTACCTGGCTTTAGGAAAATTTTTTAAGGTTTGAATTGTCTTCTCAATCCTTCATAATAGGAATCGATCATAGAAGAGAGTTATTTATAATGAAACATAATTGTGTTCATGTGAAAGATTTATTAT